TTCCTACTCAACCTAGTAGACAGGAAGAGGCTGCTCCTCAAGTATTACCAAGTACATCCGCATCTGCTACGCGCATCTCAGCAGCCCAACCTGGTCATGTTTTTCTCGCGACCGCTATTGTTCATGTRCGAGACAAGTGTGGCAGGCTACATGAATGTAGGGCTGTACTTGACAGCGGATCTCAGATAAACTTCATCTCCAAGAATTTAACAACTCTACTTCAATTACCAGGAAGAAAAAGTTCCCTTCCAATATGTGGAATAGGTGCTAATCAAGTGCTAGCAGCAGCTTGTATTGACTTAACGATTCAGTCCAGAACGAGTGATTATAATGTCGACTTAACTTGCTATGTACTACCAAGTATCGTTTCTGACTTATCTGCCTGTCCCATACCTGAAGGAGGATGGACAATTCCGGAAGACYTATACCCAAGGCTCGCTGATCCATTGTTCTATAAAAGAAGACCAGTTGATTTACTTATAGGTGGTGGCATTTTCTTTGACATCTTAAGAATGGAACGAAGATCTCTAAATTTGGAAGCATTATGGTTACATGACAGTCAGTTTGGCTGGATTGTTACAGGTGAACTGCATTCCACATGCTTAGTTGGTATTAATTCCGTTGGTGCTTCTCTTGAAACTGATTGGAAGGCTCTACACTTAGAGGAYGATACGGTTTATGGGCGACTGTCGAAACCAAATCTCAGGATCTTAGAAGAAAAGGAAGTTGTCTTACATTTCCAAAAAACTGCAATCCGCAATGATGATGGCCGATTCGTTCTTCGATTACCAATCAAAGCAAATGCTGAYAAATTAGGAGACAGTGTAACAATGGCGACATCACGCTTTATGAGTGTGGAAAGACGAATACAAAAGGATCCGTACTTACGCACAGAATATATAAAGTTTATGCAAGAATACTTAGAGATGGGCCACATGCAGGAAGTTAGCTGTGAATTATCTATTCCTTTAAATGCATACTATCTGCCGCATCACGCAGTTCAAAAGACCTCAAGTCTAACCACAAAGGTGAGAGTGGTTTTTGATGCTTCCGCCAGATCTTCTTCAGGTATATCACTAAACGATATACTAATGCGTGGCCCTACAGTCCAGGAGGAGTTGTTTGCGATATTGATTCGGTTTAGAAGACACCAACATGTAATAACATCAGATATTGAAAAAATGTTCCGGCAAGTCGCCATAGCTGAACCCGATTGGGATTTMCAACGAATTTTATGGAGAAATGACCCCAGTGAATCTCTTCGTACATACAGATTAGTAACAGTTACCTATGGAACCACTCCAGCATCATATATGACTACTCAATGTCTTGTMAAATTGGCTGAAGAATTTAGTGAGCGTTATCCGAAGGCAACAACAGTCATCAGACAGGACTTCTATATGGATGACTTAATGACAGGCTCTGACACCGAAGCAGAATGCTGTCGGTTACAACAAGAAGTGAGCATGATYCTGAATTCCGCCAAGTTACCACTTCGTAAATGGTGTTCAAATTCCCAAACTGTGTTACAGTGCATAACTAAAGAAGAGCAAGATCCACTATTCGTTTTGAATATAAGTGAAGATGATACTGTTAAATCKTTGGGTCTGTGTTGGAAACCGATTGCTGATGAATTCCGCTTCCAAATAGCAGATGTACCTGAAAGCTATAAACTCACTAAAAGAACCTTGTTGTCGCAATTAAATAGAATTTTTGATCCATTAGGTTTTCTTGCACCGGTGCTCATCAAGGGAAAAATATTTCTTAAGCAACTTTGGCAATTAAAAATTGATTGGGATACACAGTTACAAGAAGACCTTCAAATGAAATGGCGTTCATATTACGAAGAATTACAAATTCTCAAAGGCTTATCAATACCACGAAAAAGTATATTTAGYATAAGTAAAAAAATAGAAATGCATGGCTTCTGCGACGCATCGTTAGAGGCTTATGGGGCTTGTATCTATGTCCGCTCGTTGGRTAATGACGGAACTTGGCATTCACAGTTGCTGTGTTCGAAGACTCGAGTAGCTCCGCTTAAAGGTATAACAATTCCTCGCTTGGAGTTAAATGGGGCACATTTGTTAGTACAGTTGATTGTCAAGATTTCTGATTCATGGAAGATAAATTCGCTAGATTTCCGCCTCTGGACTGATTCTATGGTTGTATTATCTTGGCTGAATAGCGATTCCAGCCGACTGAAAACATATGTATCGAATAGAATAACACAAATACTAGAAGTCTCCAATCCTTCTCAATGGCGACATGTGAAGACAAATGAAAACCCAGCAGATATAATTTCTCGTGGATTAAGAGCACAAGAACTAAGTACATCACAAATTTGGTGGCATGGTCCCTTTTGGCTATCTCAAGCAGACGACTGTTGGATTCACATTCCCATACAACCAGTATTAGAGACCGAACTTCCTGAACAACGACCGTTGCGTTTAGCGCTAATAGCAACAAATCCGATCAAAGACTTGGTCAGCAGCTTCTCTAGCTGGCTCAAACTTACACGTGCAGTTGGGTGGATCACAAAGTTCATTGAATATATTGCTTCAAAKYGAAGAAGGCCAATGGTCAAGTACCTCACTGTTCAAAATATCAAAGCAGCTCAAAGAACTGTACTCCAGGCAGTGCAAGAAGAAGCATTTGGTAAGGATATAGTTTCACTAAGGCAGCATAATAATGTGCCCTACCGCAGTAAGTTGAAGTCCTTAAATCMTCTGTTAAAGAACGGGTTATTAGTCGTGGGAGGCCGGTTAGAGAACGCTGCGATCTCAGAAGATCAGAGGACACCAATTATTCTACCAGCTGACCATRGAGTGACTCGTCTGATTTTTACCGAACGTCATCGGAGTTTACTACATTGTGGCCCATCAGCTCTCCTTGCCGACCTAAGACATCAATACTGGCCTCTACGTGGAAGACTTACAGCAAGATCAGTGGTCAAACGTTGCATTGATTGTGTTCGAGCAAAGCCGAAGTTCCAACATCCTCTCATGGCACCACTGCCTAAAGAAAGAGTCACCTGTACGCGTCCTTTCAGTAATACAGGCGTTGATTTCGCTGGCCCATTAATAATACGAAGCGGAATTCGTGGGAAGCCTGGAAAAAAGGCCTGGATAGCAATATTTGTCTGCTTTTCTACCAAGGCAGCACATATAGAAGCTGTTGAGGACTTGACATCTAGTGCATTTATTGCCACACTACGGCGATTTTGTTCTAGGAGAGGAAAACCTGATAAAATTTGGAGTGATAACGGCACCAACTTTGTTGGAGCAAGACGAGAACTGGCAATATACACTAAGGGCATTGAGKCACAGTTAGCAAATGAAGGCATCAACTGGCATTTCAACCCGCCATCAACCCCACACTTTGGAGGCATTTGGGAAAGCTGCGTAAAGAGTGCAAAGCACCATTTAACAAGAATTGTCAAGGATGCATACTTAACTCTGAGCGAGMTTCAGACACTACTGTGTCAAATTGAAGCATGCCTAAATTCACGCCCTCTTTCACCATTGAGTAGTAGCTCACAAGACTTGGAACCCCTCACTCCCGCTCACTTTTTAATCGGGGGTCCAATCACGTTACCTCCAGAACCAGATTTGGCATCACAGCAAATAAGCGGTTTAAGACGGTGGAGACTAGTACAAGCTCTCATGCAGACATTTTGGAGCAGATGGACCTCAGAATACCTCCCTCAGCTTCAGGTCAGGGGAAAATGGACAACTGCATCTAAACCTTTGGCAATCGGAGATGTCGTAATTGTCAAGGAAGATAACATGGCTCCATGCAAGTGGAAAATGGCTCGCATAATATGTCTTCATCCAGGCAAGGATGGTCACACCCGAGTAGTCACCATACGAACAGCAAATGGCACAGAGACCAAAAGACCAGTAATCAAATTATGCTACCTGCCAGTTGAAAAAGAATTGGAAAATAACTGAAAATTACCATTTTCAAGGGGGGAGAATGTTCGCGCCGCCACATCGGTCGACACACACACACACAAACACAGTCACATATTATAATTGTTATTTTTGTATTGKTTTATTTTTGTTAATTGTATTGTGAATTATTATATAACATGCAGATAAGAGCGCTATCGCGCGCCGCCGGATCGGCTGCTGATTATCATTTAATACGGCCGCCTGGCCGCGAGTCTATTCCAGTGTGCAACACGAAGCACGTATTGTTGTGTGCGTGCAGAAATNAGCCAAAGGGTATCTACTTGCCCCCTACGGACACCCTTGCTCAGTTGTCTAATAGAATATGCTAATTATTTGTTTGAAAAAAGATTTCGTAGGCACACTCTATACAGTAGTGTTTAGAGATTTTTCGAAAGCGATATATTATGTAGGTACCTAGCTCATTAAAWTATTACTYTCTTTGCTGTGTTTTTACCAGGGATGGAAAACGTTTTTAATTTTCGTTTATGTTATGTAAAAAAAAATTGGAAAATTAAAGTCGCGGAAAAATTTTTCCTGCAAAGTATTAAAGTCATTGGCGGCTCGTGTGTATGTGCACAAGTGCAYGTGCACTACCTACCCAAACTCAAGAAAAATTGAAAACATACATCATAATAACATAACTATATAAGTACCTGTAATGTAATAAGGATTATTTTCAAAATATAAAAATATAAATTCAGAATATCATGAAAATAATAATATAATAATAATATAATAATAATATATTTAATATTTGGATTGGGTAAATTCGACTGCTAAACGGCCCTCCGGCTGTCCACGACGGAAACTACTGTAGGTACACGAGGCAATAGCTTCAAGTCAAGTAAAGTAAGTTACTCTCTCTAATAATTATTAATAAAACATGGTCTTTTTAAGAGTAAAATTTAAATTTAAAAATATTATTCTGATTTGGCATTTTATTAATGAAGAGAATGTCAGCAAGACAGCAAAGTATATTTTGGTATCTCTCTCTGACCCACGCGCGACATAAGTAGCAAAATTTACGTTCACAATAATGATTATAAATTTATAACCATATTAATTTCTCATGTTGTTCGTGGATCAGAGAGAGAAAACAAATAGTTCGCTGACATCTTCCAAGTAAAATAGATTAGATACCATTTTTTTTTTAATGTTCTAGGTGTCTTAACTCAAATTAGTGACTAGATTTGTTGGTAGACAAATTACGTTTTATAAATGATACAACTTGAGACATGCGTTCAACTAGGGACAGGAAAATTTATTTTTGCTTTATTCGCCGTRGCTGCACTGTATTTGAGATATCCTACTTTTTTTTTTTTATAATCATCTACACAAGATTATCTATGAACTCGATGTGATAATACAGCCCAAAACACAAAACATAACGACGGAGAACCGTTACCACGTTTTTCACTATTTATAAATAGTTAATTGTCCTTACAAACTTTATCGGTAAGTCATTAACTATGCTTTATATCACAAATTTTTATTCTTTATTTTTCATAGAAAATAGATAGATAGTTTTAAGTTAAAAAAACGAAATTCGATTTGATTAAATATTAAGCCTTATAGCTTATGATTTATACATGTTATACAACTTGGGACATGGGTACATATAATTTTTTTTTTTTAGAAATGTCAGTGAGAAGAAAGTTGGGTGCTAGGCGATATAAAACATACACAGATGAAAATCTAGAAGCAGCTTTAAGATTGGTTTCTAGTGGTGAAATGAGTCTCAGAGATATTAGTGCTATGTATAACATTTCAAAATCAACTTTAAGCAGGAAACATAATAAGAAAAATATGAAAAACGTCGGCCATCCTTCTGTYTTGACAAAAGTCGACGAAGAAGCTCTAGTTAATGGACTTATAGCAGCAAGTAAGTGGGGCTTTCCTTTGACTGCACTGGACATACGACTGATAGTTAAATCTTTTTTGTACTCTAATAATGGTTTAAGGGTAGAGGTTTTTAAAAACAATTTACCAGGTGTTGTGTGGGCTAGATCTTTTCTAAAGAGACACAGAGATAACCTCACAGTAAGATTAAGTGAAAATATAAAGCGATGTCGTTCTGGTGTTGATAGTGATATAATTATTAATTACTTTGATGAACTGAAGGTCACTTTGAAAGATGTCAAACCGGAGGCAATATTGAATTATGATGAGACAAATTTTACCGACGATCCAGGAAAAGTCAAAGTCATTGTTCGCCGTGGAGCCAAACATGTTGAAAGAATAATCGATGCATTTTGGATGCAGTACATCTTTAATGTTCTCAGGAACAGCTTCATGCATTTTATTACCAATTTATATAGTATATAAAGCCGACCACTTATATGATGCTTGGACTACAAATGCGCCCAAAAGAACTAGGTTTAACAGGTCACACAGTGGATGGTTTGACACAACTATTTTTGAAGATTGGTTTTTTTCTATTTTTCTCCCTTACTTCAAAAAATTAGGTGATCAAAAAAAGGTGATGTAGGTGACAATCTTTCCAGCCATATTTCACAAAAAGTTATACAATGTTGTCAAGATAATAACATAAGTTTTGTCTTGCTACCTCCTAACAGCACACATCTTACCCAACCGTTAGATGTTGCTTACTTCAGACCATTAAAAATTAAATGGCGACAAGTCCTTAATAGTTGAAAAGAAAAAAACAAAGGTAATGTTCCAAAAACTCAATTTCCTCGACTTGTTAGCTTAACTATGAAAGAGCTTGGAAATCAATCATCAAAAAATTTAATAGCTGGTTTTGAATCCTGTGGTATTGTGCATTAAATCCACAAARAGTGTTAAATCATATACCTAACTCAAATTCGGTATTTTAGATTTGGGTTGGACAATTATTTTTTGACGCACCATTCGGTCGAGTTGTATTTTCCTAACCTAACCTTTTTTTTTTTACATGTTGCATCGGAGACTAAGGGTGGTACCGACGTTAGTCATTTCACCCCTTAGCTTTCATCATTTATTGTGCAAAAACAATCTACATTACAATTTAGGTATACACAATGGCTATGGTACAAAAGCGGGGGCCTCTAACCACCCAGTAGTTGGCCTTCAGCCTACAATAGGTTAAACTTAACTAAATTTCATTAGTTGGCTTGGGCCGCTTGTCTCCGTCTCTCTTCATCCTCCTTCTTCATCAAGACTTCATGGATGACGGCTGTGACTGTGTCCCAGGAGTTCTTGCTTGACAGCATGATTAGGGTGATGTTTTCTGGAGTGACTGTGGTTCCACACATGATGTTGACTCTGGCACTTAACTACGTTGCTAGTTTTCGTACTTATTTTTGGCATCTAGATAAGCCCGACATCTGGAGCTTCCCGGGTAATGTTTAGCCTCGTTTCCTGACTCCTCGCACAGCACACATTTTGGAGGGCTGGAGCAATCCTTCGCCTTGTGGTCCTCTTTTCCGCACGTCATACACAGCCCGGTCCGGTCCAAGCCCTTGCACGTRTCTCGGGTGTGGCCGTAGTCGTGGCATCTGTAGCACCTGGTTTTGGCTGCTTTCTGCATGACACGGCACMTCACTAGCCCTATAGTGATGCAGCCAATTTTTGTCAATGCAGAAGCGGCGGGGCTGTTGAGCCTTACCGTTTTGCATCCGTTGTGTGAGAGGGTAGTCCTAAGCACATTAGCAGCAGAGGTGGACCCCGTCGCTTTTGCTACCGCATTTAGGATTTCTTCGTCCGTGGTTTCTGGCTCAAGGTCTCTTATGGTAACCGTTTTAGTCCTTGCGTGGTATCTCACTTCCGCTTCACCCATTATGTCCGAGACCACACCTCTCAGCTTTTCAGCCGCTTGACACTGGCTTGGACCATTTTGGATCTGAAGTACCACGTCCCATAGCCTTGATCTCTTCATGGCCCTGATGGAGATACCTAGGGAGCAACGTCAATACACTCTTTAAGTGTTTTGGCAACGTCCGCGTAAGTTTGCCCCAACGCGGGACGAATAACTACGGTTTCTGGTCTCGTTATTTCCTTCCTGTCTTTTTTCGAGTGTGCCATGAGAGCAGGAGCTTTGGGTGACTTTTTCCGTCTCCTCTTTACCTTTTTCTTCTTGAGCTCGGGACATTTGGCGCTTGTCCCCTGACTTGGGGCTCCAGTTTCTCGGATGCCACTGGTGGATTGGGTGTAGATCTCTGTACCGCTCCTATTCACTGGTAGATTCGCTTCCTTGACAAAAGCCTTCTTTTTGGCTGGAGTACTCGCGGCGTTCAGGAGCAGGCTCGTATCGAGTAGACTGGAGGAAAGATCGACGATCCTGTCACCAGCTTTATCTGCGTATCTTCCCATACAACGCTCGCCTTTAGAGTTACGTCCATCTTCTCTTTCAGCTCCTTGCGCATTTTTTTCATCTCGCAGTGCAAGTTTCTCGTTTTTAGGAAGAAACTTAGCATTTCTTCGCACACCGCAGCTACATCTTCGAGGTAACTGTGACAGCTACTCCACATTTCGTAGTTACTCAGGTCTTCGTTGCTGGTCTTCGTCATCAAGTGTTTGTGGGGTGCTACCACTAGCAGAGGGTTGGTGCGTGCCCCCTTGGGACACGACTGTCTCAGCGCTAGTAGCATTTTGAGTTGCGGGGGCTAGGCTGGCCACCCCCGTACCCACACGGTCGTTTGATAACGACCGTAGTGGGCCCGCTACGTTGGATCAGGATTTTACACCGGATCCACCCACTACTGCCGACTCCTGGGGTTCCGAGGCCCCTGGGGTGGTAACAATATTCCTGTTTGTACCAGTGGCGTAAATTGGGCTAAATTGTTAGAATTGCAATCAGTTCTAGGTTGGACAGGCTTGTGGGGGGCTTTGCCCCCACACCCCCCTAAAATGTTTTGTTTTATTCTAAATTTAACATTACAATCAGTACATAAATTAAACAAAACTATTTTAACACATATTGGATCTATTGGTAATTGGTTTATATTATGTATATACACCTATAAATATTAAATAGGGTTAAATATAATACTTAATAC